GGCTTCCTCCATCACTGGAGCAAGCAAGCCTGTTTGCTTCAGCTGCCTGGCTGCCGGCCGCCATCTTGGTTGGCAGTTAATTTGCATATCACCCTGATTAGCCCGTGGGGAGGGTAGCGAAGTTACGGTTAATTACCATGTTTGTCTGTTATTAGGATGACTACATGGGATTAAAAAAATACTTGATTTTTTTTTTCACAAATCTTCAGTGAAAGATTGCCATCTTGTGGGTTTTTTTTAAATAAAGGATTTAAACAAAATCTGATATGACTGCTGAGATTTTATGAATATAGTTGTTTTATGATTCCAAAATGAGTAAGACATGAATACTATTAAATCTTTTTATATTTGCTTATCCTTTGGACAGATATGTGCACTTTATTTTAATATTACAGATTTTAAAAATTTCTGTTAGTTATTAAACTTTTCTTTTAGCCCACTCAAACATTAGTAGTATAAATAATCTACAATTACAGTTTTAATTAAAAGCAGATATTGAGATTTTTGATATTAATTTCTAATTAATAGAATAATTTGGATAAAAATATACTTTTCTTTAAGAGGTAATTATTTGACAAAATATATCCAAAGGAACCTTAATTTTATAATATAGAACTCCAGTTAGTAAAAAGTGATATTTAAAAGAAAAAGAAACCTCAATTTAGACCTAATTTTTTTGGTATTTAATAATATAAGCTGAAAATTAATTTTTCTTCAGAATATCGGAGAGACCCTAATTTATAGTTAGGGAAGTCTTAAAAATCACCTCCTATGTAAGGAATGGAAAGTGCTTGCAAGCTTGGGGTCAGTTAGTTCTTATATCAATGGAGTTTCTATATGATACCAAGTTACAAAATTGCTTTTTATAATAACTTTTATTTTCACTTGTTTAATCTCATTTTATATCTTGATTAATAGCTCCTATTCATCTTGGTTTATAATATTCATTATATTAAAAATAATAAATATTTATTTTTCCAAAAATGTCTGAGAATCATATGTACATGCCTGCATATATGTCTCATACTAGTACGTGCCGACGCCCCCACCACCACACCAGAGTTGGTTATTAAACATTTACCATCATACCGTTGGGTGGAATCCACACAATATTTTAACAATGAAAAACTGACAGGTGCAGTCGGGGAACTTAGAGGTAAGACTGTAGGAAAAGAACCCAGAACCACGATTGACGTTGCCTCCAGGCTGCAGGCCCCTCTGTGTGTTTGACGGCAACGGTGTAAGATGCGATAGCCGATAAGAAGTTAGAAGAAATTCCCGTTTTTGTTTTATTTTGATTCCTCCCCCTCACTGCATCTTTATACAAGAAGAACGGAGTTGTGATTTGACTAATAGATTAAGAAATATATGTAAAAAAAGAGTCTTTTTACAGAAACATGTAATTCCTGTTAAGGAACAGGGAGCACATGTGTTCTTTCTCAGAGATAACCAGGATTCTGGTGCATTGGTCCCCATGGACTTCTGTCAGGGAAATTCCTGTTATCCACCCAAAACGTGAGATACAATGCTCCTGAATTGCTCCTCTGATTTTAGTAGGTTATAGCAGCTTTTAGATAAACTGCCTCTTTCCTTTCCCCCTAAGCAGGGCGGGAGAAGGCCTCAAGTTAGGGGTAGAATTTGATGTCTTGCCCTTCTTCACTTGTCTTGCAGTTACGCTAAGAAAGAATCTGATCTTAATGGAGCCCAGATGAAGCTCCGAGAATATGAAGCAGCACTGAATTCTAAAGATGCGGCTCTGGCTACTGCACTTGGTGACAAGAAAAGTTTAGAGGTAGAATTGGAGGATCTGAAGGATCAGATCGGCCAGGTCAGTAACCACTCCTCTTGAACCGTATTCGGCAGAGTAATTGCCTTGGTTGGTTGATTTTTGATTATTTTATGGCTTATCTGATGGCCTCAAGGTAGCTAATGTTCAAACACCTCCACTCTTTAGTCATTGTGTCTTGATCATGCTCCTTCTGCTCCTTGCTCTCAAAGCCTCTTTCATTATCGTAATAAAATGTGAGGTAGGACAAGAGAAGGTGTCATACGGTGCGCTGCAGACAGGAAAAGATGAAAGTGGTAGCTGAACCTTTGGCTTGAGTTTTGAAATGTAAGTCAGAAGTCTCTGTTCATTCCCTGTTGCCAGTTACCAGATTTGAGAGGTGTTTTGGCGTGGCACTCTGTGGGTGGGACAGCAGCTGAACACACAGTTAAGGATAAAGGTTATCGGGAGGGACTCTCGTACAAATACAGAGAAGTTGCAGTACTTGATTGCATTCGATCCACCTATAGCAATTAAGTTTATTACTATATGGTTGCTGTATAATGCCCATCAATTCTTTTTCCTGATGTTAGTTGGAAGTCTCCTTGACTGCTGCCAAAAAACAGTTAGCTGATGAAACTCTGCTTAAAGTGGACTTGGAGAATCGCTGTCAGAGCCTTACCGAGGACCTGGAGTTCCGTAAAAGCATGTATGAGGAGGTAACTGTGTATAATTTTTACTTCTTCAAGGAATGGAGGGATCCCAAAAGGCTTTGTTATAACTTTATATGTAAATAATGGGAGAAATTTTGTAGGTAAACTTTTCAAGGCACTGCTGCTAAAAGGCTGCATATGAGAACACAGGTATGATTTTACTTCATCTGATTTATAAAGGCTTAGTCACAGCAGTTAATTACTGTTTAAGCATTTGTATTACTGCCTCACAGATTACTCCAAAACTTAGCAGCTTAAAACCACAGGCCTTTATTACTTCACAGTTTCTGGAGGTCGGGATTCTGAGAGCTGTCTCACTGGGTGGTTATGCTTCAGGCTCTCTCATGAGGTTACAGTCAGGCTTTCACCTGGGCTGGAGGAACTGCTTCCCAGCTCATTCACAGGCTGTTGGCAGGAGCTGTGAGTTCAACGAGGGCTTCTCCAGAGGGCTGCTCACGCTGTGGCTTCTCCCAAGAGTGGCGAGTAGGGAGCGAGTAAGAGCAAGACAGAGGCCTCATTATCTTCTGGAAGCTACTCCCAGAAGTGATATATCTTCACTCTTCATCTCACACACCAGCCATGACACAGGGCGTGACTACCAGGAGGCAGCAACCATTGGGGGCCTTCTGGAAGGCTGGTACCCATAGCATTTATAGCTATATGTATATATTTTAAGGTATCATTTACAATCCTTACCTTCTGTGGTCAAACCTTGGGGGTTGAAGGCAGCAAGTGTTGCGAAAAAAGAAGTAATAAAATTGGAGAAAGGGGAATGTATATTTCCTCCAAATGGAAGGGGGTTGGCATGAACCCAGGGCAAACATGCAGTTAAATAGTGAAATATTTTTAGAAGTAATATAATTTTGAAAACAATAATTAACAATGATTTGAAAATAGGAATTTATTGTATAAGTTAAATTTTTTTTTATTGTAGAAAAATATTGGAGATATGACCATTTTTATAATGATAGAGTATTAAAATAGGTATTGTTGGGATTTAAGTGCTCTCCCAAGCATTCTGACTTTGGGCAACTCTTGAATTGTTTTTTAATTTAAAAATGAAATGCCAATACTTGCTGTTTTTTTCTTCAAGGAGTGGAGAAGATCAAAATGGAATGTTGTGTGTGAAAGCTCCTTGTAAACTAGTGAATGCTACCATATACTTGTTAACGACAGTTTTGCTTTATAAATGGAGATATTTTTATATTAAGTTGACGACATTTTTGTTTTGTTTTGTTAAAATTGTTTGTAATTTACCACTACTTATTCTGATGCTGTGTGTGGACTCCTTTCATCTCAGCTTTGTAATCTACACCATTGGAGAACATCTTGTTAGTTTTTGCCTTATTTGAGAATGAATTTAAAATATTCCTTTTTTTTTTACATGGAAGATATAATTCTATTCCATAACTATACCTAAGCTCCTTATTAGGAACAGTTAAAGGGGCAAGAATGGAAGGAGAAAACCCGAAAGAGGAGGTAGGGAGGCAAAGGGCAAAATTATTAGTACGTCTCAACACTTGCTGAACTAAACCTTTCATTTGCATGCTTTTCACTTCATTAAATAGATGTGAGCCCTGAGAGGTTAATAGCAGAACTAGAATTTGAACCTGGTTTTCTGGTCCTGTCCAGTGCATTTTCCTCTGCAAAGAAGTGTTAAAAGAAAGATGAGGAAAGGCATACGAAAACACTTGCAGTAAGGTGATAGGGGAACAAGAACTTCAATGGGTTATATCTCCCTCTTGTGGCCGCTTTAATTATTGTCACTAAAGAACGATCTGTTGTATTTTCAGAGCTGGAAGCTGGAATGGAAACTTGACTCTCGGGCTTGTGTTTCTAGACATTCTAGTTTTGGACAGTTGCTTAAAACATAGAGCAAAGGATTATGCCTACATTCTATTCATTAACAGTGAATGGTCATAAGTACTCAAGATAGTAAAGTGCTAATTGTTAAGGTTCTGTATCAATTGGTATTGATACCTCAGCAGCAGCTCTTACAATAACTCATGTAAATTAGCTTGCTCTGCCCATTGTTGCATCTTAGTATGTCTAAGAAAAGAGTTTTATTGTGTACAAATCTTCTAGTTGAAGTTGTCCGCACAAGTTTAACTTTTCATGTGGATTTTTCTCAGAGGTGTCCTTAGGATCATCAATATGACATTTTAGAAGAACGATTACTATTAGGTGTACATAGTTTTGCATGATTGCATGGTACTTTAGTATGTCTCCCAGGCCGTTCATAGCTGTGCTACTGAGAAGAAACAGAATTCTCAGGGCGTGAGATGCTGCCATTTCTGTTATTAGTTTCATCCTTGAAATCGTCTCATTTGAAAATGAAGGCAAAAAGCTATACTCACATGCCCGCTGGGACAGATGCGAGGGTGGGTGCCTAAACTTCAGGTGCCTCTGATGCCACTCACACTTGTACCAATGCAGCCATGGTGAGCAACTTGGTTTTACATCACTCTCCCCTCCTCCCACAGGAGATTAATGAGACCAGAAGGAAGCATGAAACTCGCTTGGTAGAGGTGGATTCCGGGCGTCAGATTGAGTATGAGTACAAGCTGGCTCAAGCCCTGCACGAGATGCGCGAGCAGCACGATGCCCAGGTCAAGATGTACAAGGAGGAGCTGGAGCAGACTTACCACGCCAAGGTAAGAGTCGCTTCAGAGGGCAGGTTCAAGCTCTGAGCCATGACCTCAGTCACCTGATGATGTTTGCTGTTCTAGTTTTCTTTCTTTTTTTTTTTAAATTTATTTTTGTTGTTGAAAGTATTACAGATGTCTCTCTTTTTTCCCCAGTGACCCTCCTCCTCCCCCACCCACTACCCCCTGGCCTTCATCTCATGCTAAATAAATGTTACTAGAAATTATTAAAAGAAAGTAGGATTATTCTAATTTTATCTGAGATGAGGGTTTATCTTTTTGTTCCACTGATCAGTCATGTCATGTCATAGTAGTAAAACCCAAGCCATCTGAAAACAGTCTTCTTTCAATAACAAGTGCTAATCACGCCATCCTGCGCATCCATACAATTGTAAACCCACGCTGGGCTGCATCTAGTTCTGACCTCCATGGCATCAGTGTACACATATTTGAGGCTTTTTTGAACAAAGGCCAAATGGCAAGTCTGATATTTCTTCCTCTGCCACTATTATTAATCGAGAAAATATTATAAAATTTTTGTATTAGCAGACCATGCAAAAATCCATCAAATCACCTACGAGTACAAGCTTTCCTAGGAAATGATTTTATCCCAATGTGGTAAATGTTACATGTTTTGATTAGAAAGAATTATTAGTGAAGATTTAGAAAATTAGGGTCATAGAGGTATTGAAAAATAATTTCTATTGCATGGCCTTACACTGTTCATGTGCTTTTAGTCCATTTTATGATGCAGCAGTTGGTTGGTGGAAGGGAGAGGTCCTTTAAACCCCATATTCAGTTGCCCAATACTTGTTCAGTGCGAGGCATTGTGCAGGGCAGTGGAAGAGCCAAAGTAAGGATTGGTCCGTCACATAGACTTCGGCCTCAAAGGGAGCCAGGGGAGAGGCGGTGTACATAAAAGCGTGCTGAGCACATGCAGAATAAATTATTATGGGCATTTGGAGGAATAGGATATTGAATTACCTGAGGAGCTGTTTGTTTGTTTTTTTTTGCTTCTGAAAGGAAGTGTTTCTATCTGGTTTCAAATAATTTATCAATTAGTGCTTTCTGCCTATTTTCTTTAAATTCTTTATTATTTGGTGGGTTAGAGATATGCGATGTTTGTTTTCCTACCATGGTTAAATTGCTACTGCCCAGTCTCCTTTTAGCAGTATTATCTGAGACATTAGAGATATAATGGACAAAATATTGGAGTAATACACGTTGGGCAAAGACCCAGGTATGTGAGCATTGTTAACGCTCATACATTGAAATAGTTACGGTAACTTTTCCTGTGTCAGCCAACTTCATGATGCTCTTCCTGTTTCATCAACGAGTTACCAGCAGGGCTGAGGTTTGAAATGAAATGCCTTGAGATGAATCATGCTTCCTCATTGGTTTGTTCCATCTCACATAGATAAGGCTGACTATCGCTTGCTTCTTCTTTTAGCTCGAGAATGCCAGGCTCTCGTCAGAGATGAACACGTCTTCTGTCAACAGTGCCAGGGAAGAGCTGATGGAAAGTCGTATGAGAATCGAGAGCCTTTCGTCTCAGCTTTCTAATCTACAGAAAGAGGTAAGTCTGCATTTTCCCCAGAGAGGAACTGAAGATGAACTTGAAGCCACCTCCACCAGGGTAGTTCCCCTGGCTTTGCTCTGCCTGGTGCCACTTTTCAGAGAGGGTGGAGTCTGCCTGCGTTCACAGTGCCGCCCAGGTTTTTTCATTTTGCGTTGCTAAACATCCTCTGAGCAGGACCGTTATTCCTAAACTAGAGGCCCGGTGCACGAAATAAGTGCAAGGGGCTTGGCCCTCGAAGCCCCTGAGGCTTGCCTTTGCCCTCGAAGCCCCGGCTTTGTCCGGAAGGTCGTTCAGCTGTCCGGTCTAATTAGCGTATTATGCTTCTCTTATTATAGATTAGTAGATTAATCTGCTGCTCACCTTACTTACTGGGAAAGTAACCTCAGCTTCTGTTTTCCTTAAGGGAGGACATTTTGTTTTAAACTCTCCATATCAGATTAAACTTGATCTTATTCTTGATTAAACTTTTCTTTACTTTTTCTTTTATTTTAGTAAAATCTTTTTCTTGATTATAAAACTGACAACATTTATTGCAGGAATTTAGAAAACAAAGCAGACAGTGACTTACATAAAATAAGGTAATACAAAAAAATTAAAATTGAAGCTTTTATAGTGCCTATATGTGAACTTTATTACTGACACCATAAATATAAAAGTTATTTTAGACTTGTTTTGTCCTGGTAGTATTTTGAAGTTTTCATGGAACAGTAAGGCTGGAAGGACCTTTGAGTTCGCTCAGTCCGACCACAGACCTAGGTGAGTTTAACAACTCGTCCAGAGACTGTAGACTGATCAATGGGTTTCTTTCCTAGTTTCCAGTTCGTTTGTTTTTAAATGTTTTTATTGATTTTTAGAGAGAGAGGAAGGGAAAAGGATAGAGAAATAGAAGCATCAAGGATGAGAGAGAAACATCATCGATTGGTTGCCTCCTGCACGAACGCCCCCTACTGGAGATCGAGCCTACAATCCAGGCATGTGCACTGATGGGGAATTGAACCAGTGACCTCCTGGTTCATGGGTCGACACTTAACCACTGAGCTACACTGGCCGGGCTTTTTCTTTTTTCTTTTTTTTTTTTTTTAAAGTATGTCCAGTTCTTCACTTTAGATCTCAATCTCTTCAAAGATTTTCTTTTAGGAATTTAATACTCTTTTTTCCGTTACAGCATCTTAACAGGTACCTTTCCAAAAACAGGCCTCTTTGTTCTTACTCTGACTTGACATTTACTACTTTTTCTCCATTTAATAAATTATATTCCAGTTGTCCCTTCTCCTTCAATTTTACATTTCCTTACCTTTTATTATTCATGTTTTTGGCTGCTGTTTAATCCACTTGACTGTGCCCTCAGTTATGTGCCCATCCTTGCAAGTTTTTTTGTTAACTTCAGTTTAGTAGATTTTAACTGATGTTAGGCAGGGCCCAGGGGATTTTTGGAGCTAGCTCCTTAGGGAATAGGAGAGGAGCACATCCTTCAAGCAGAATAGTTTTACATTTCTCTATTGGTGGGCGGGGAGGGGTGATCCTTTCCCCTGTTCATTACTGGTATCAGATTTTATGATAAATAATATACCTTGAGGAATATCTCCATTCATTGATAAATTTTAGTCTTAGAAAGATCATCAAAAAGGAAAATGCCATCTCAATATTTTCCTGGTGTACACCTTAATAGTATTATTGTTGCGTCATATCAGTTTCATCATGCTGTTTCTTCGGCCACAGAATTTCCTTTCAGTTATGACTCATGTTAGTGAAGTACTTCTTAAAATTTATTTAAAATGGACATAGCCTTTAAAATGCTGACTTTAGAAAATATTTTTAAATACTACATGTTAGCAGTATTATGTTCTGGAATTAGGAATTTTACATATTGCTTACAGCATTTCTCTCATTTCTATCTAGACTTTTTAATTTGGCCAAATTAATTTGTTGGTCAGAGCCTCTTTGTATGCAGACATGTCCAGAGGCACTTTGAAAGCATGTCTAATTTTTGTTTTTCTTATACCCAGACTCTGGAAACTGCTGTTGCAACTAGAGCATAATAAACTAGTGTAACAAATTGTTACAAACTATAAAATAAAATAAAAAACAAGACCATTAGAGGTCAGTCATAACATTTTAGAGTTAGAGGTGGGATCTTACAGATAATTAGGCCTCTTCACTTTCCAAATGTGGATTCTGGTTTAGTGAGTGCCCAGGGCCTCCTAAGCAGCGAACAGCAGGATTGGGAGGGAGAATCTAGGCCTGCTTCTCATGTCCCGTTCTATGTATTTCACTACATAACTGATGCAGTGCAGCTATTTAAAATAGAATTTAAATATTTCTAATTAAACTACAAAATGATTCAGAATAACTTTAAAACCTTTTTATCCTACATTTTGCTTTTTCTCTCCTAAGGAACTCTGGAGCATCAAAGGCAAACGCGTAGGGGAGTTTCAGGGTTTACAAATCTAGGCGCAGAGGTTCTCCCTGAATCTTGGCTACTGTATGTCTCATCAGCCCCTTTAGATTCCACCTTGTTGCCCGTTCTGCCTACCTCCCACATGGAAATAAGGTGAAGAGATTCATCAAAGATGAGAGACATTTTGGACTTATGTATATTTTTCTTTTAGAGGAAAGAACATATAAGAAACCTGAGAGGAAAAAAATGTATTTCTCAGTTTATAGCATTTTTTTTGCAAGTGCATCTAAGTGCAAGCTCTCAGAGGCAGGGATTATGTTTGGTATCACTATTATGATGAAGGCCTGCTTCCGATATGGAATGTTAGCTGCTGCTCTGAATTGTAATTAATTGATTGGTTGGTTATTTTTTAAACAATTTTTTTGGGGGCGTAATTCTAGGTTTACCGAAAAGTTGGAAAGATGGCCCAGACAGTTCGCCTGTCTCCCTCCCCCCGTTACCCCCGTTGGTAGCGTTTTGTTCATGGTCAGAACTAAGACCTGACAGTAGCAAGACTCCAGAATGTTTGGGTTTCACCACGTCTTCTATTACTGTCATTTTTCTGCCCCAGGGAACTCATCTCCCCAGTCTCCTCTAGTCTGGGACAGTTTCTCCGGCTTCCCTTGTTCTGATGACCATGACAGATTGAGGAGCACTAGCAGGCATCCTGTAGACTGTGCCCCGATCTGGGTTTATCGGGTGCTTTTCTCCTGATTAGCTTGGGTAATGGGTGTAGGTGCCCTTCTTGTTGCATCACATCAGGGACGACGTGACATCCCTGGTGACGTCAGCCTTCACAGTTGGGTAAAGTGGGGTTTGCCAGCTTTCTCCACGGCTGGATTACTGACCTTCCCAGCCCACACTCATCCTCGAGCTGTCGGGGTGAAGGGCAGGGATTCAGCCCCACATCCTGAGGTGGCCGGTCTGCATTTTTTTTAAAATATATATTTTATTGATTTTTTACAGAGAGGAAGGGAGAGAGTTAGAGAGCCAGAAACATTGATGAGAGAGAAACATCGATCAGCTGCCTCCTGCACACCTCCCACTGGGGATGTGCCTGCAACCAATGTACATGCCCTTGACCGGAATAGAATCTGGGACCTTTCAGTCCGCAGGCCGACGCTCTATCCACTGAGCCAAACCAGTTACTGCCTGTCTACATTTATTAACTGGAGCTCTGAAGTAGAGGTGTAGTTCTTCTTCCTTATTGGCACATTTATGTATTGGCTCACATCAGGGTGGACTCATGGATATTTTATTCGTTGGGTTATGATCCAGGACTACATTATTTTACCAGCTTTGGGAAGTAGGAGTTCTTCGGGTGCATTGCCATGCCCCCCACTTTGGAACAGTTCTTTACTTCTTGGTGCTCTGAGGTGCTGCAGGCTCATCTTGTATCTTCCCTGCCCTCACCTCAGGTCTGCCATTTCTCCCAGGAGCCCTGGTTCTCCTTGCTGGAGAAGGATCATGGACATGAGACCGGGCTCCCTCCTGCAGGCAGAGCTAGGTCATCCATGAGTGGATGCTAACCTGTGTTTGCACACTTATTTGTCTACTTGTATTTATGTTAAGCTAAATACAAATTCATACTGATGTCTCTGACTCCTACCCTGTACCTCAGGGTTCATTTTAGGCTCCCTTTCTCGCTTATCTGTAATTTTTCTCTCTGAGAGTAAGAAACCTGGTTTCTTCTATCCTGTTTACTTGCTTGTTGAAACCCAGTATACGTATAAAGCAGTTTCACAATTTATTGCCCACTCCCCTGTGAGAAATAAATCCCTCTTGTAGAGTGCAGTGTGTCTGCACAGGGTAGCGCTCCTTTTATCTCCGGACTCCCAGGGCCTCAGCTGTCCGTCAGTCTTTTTGAATTGATTGCCTTTGTTGCTTTCTGAGGCTGCTGAGATGAATTCTGTCTTGGAGAAATATGGAGGAATAATTACCTAGTGAGCCACAAGGTTTCTAGGATGAACTTCCTGGTATAGGATGTATAATTTCTCATTTTTTAAAATACCAAATGTGAAGTCTTTATATTTACAATAACATTTTGCAGAGCACACTGTGTTGTGTAGTCTTTGCGGGCTGGGTGAGCACAGTAGTCCCACAGAGACACATTCCCTAAAGGGACAACCAGAGTCCCTGTACAGTTCCCCAGTAGTTCCAGCAACTCTTAAACATACCCACCCCTGTGTTTTCTTTTGTCAATAAGTTTCTTATCTTTTTAGCTCTTTACTTTTGTTGATTTATCCTTCTGAGCTAAAGGAGTTGTAGAGGAGCCGGACATGACTTTCATGAAAACCATAGTTTAGAATTCTGTTTTATTTGGTCTAATACAGAAAAATTATATGTATGTTTATGACATTTGATGGCTATATCTTTTTTAAAGGCATTTCCTGCGGGCAGCACTTTATATTGGAGGAATTTTGGTTCCTCCAATTCTTAAAATCAAAATTCTTAAAATCAAAATCTCTTGCATTCTAACGTTAGACATTCCTTAGGGTTCTATTTGCTTCCTAAGCCAGGCAGTGGTTCGTGGTTTAAAATAGCCGCCTGTGCTAATGTGGGAATGTTCCTGGAAAGTCAGTGTGTTCCCTCGAATCTGCAGTCTAGAGCCTGCTTGGAGAGGATCCAAGAGTTGGAGGACTTGCTTGCTAAGGAAAGAGACAACTCACGGCGCATGCTGTCTGACAAGGAGAGGGAGATGGCAGAGATAAGGGACCAGATGCAGCAACAGCTGAACGATTACGAGCAACTTCTCGACGTAAAGTTAGCCCTGGACATGGAGATCAGCGCGTACAGGAAACTCCTCGAAGGCGAAGAGGAGAGGTGAGCAGCCTGCTTCTTGCCCCACCCTTTTTATTTGAATAAGAGTCAAGAGGATTGGGTTATATTTTAAAACAAGGTTAACTTTAAATATTTTCTCTGTCATTTCTTTTAACACCTAGGTGTTGAAATGTTCATAGTAATAGAACATATTTCTATCTCAGCAACAAAAACTGGGGCTCAAGCAGCCTGTTATTATTATTATATATGCTGAACTGTGTCAGGATGAAGTCTTGCCTTTGAAATTTAAAATGTTTTGATAATTTAATATGTTGTAAAATATCAGATTTGCCGAAGGAGACTTTATACTTATTTTTCAAATCAGGATTAGTGTATAAGTCCTTTTAACACCTATTCTCAGAAAAAAAGTTCCAATGGAAAAGCATCTGATTTAGAATAAAAAGCCATTCAATTTCAGTATTGCATACATATGTGATTATAATTTTGTAAAAAAGAAAATGCAGGCATGACAAGACTTTTAAAAGTACAGAAAATATAACAGTGTTTGTGTAGGGTGATGGTCGATGGGACGATTTCCTCCCGTTTCCCGAGCCTTCTGCATTATGGTTATATTCAGTTCCTGGGGAAAACATTCAAATTACTGTTACTCTAAAGAAAAATGATGGTGGAGATCCTAGCGCAGAGAAGTTCATCTTGGTTAGGATGTGCGCCGGCTTGGTCTCACAGATCGCCAGTCGTGTTTTGCTCTAGAAGTGCACCTGCAGGGTTTCGATATCCATTTCTAAGGCAGGAGGGGGAGTGTGTTTCATAAGCGGAGCGTTGTTTCTCTGTGTAGATTGAAGCTCTCGCCGAGCCCTTCTTCCCGCGTGACAGTGTCGCGAGCATCCTCAAGTCGCAGCGTGCGCACAACTAGAGGGAAACGGAAGAGAGTGGACGTGGAAGAATCCGAGGCGAGCAGCAGTGTTAGCATCTCTCATTCCGCCTCAGCCACCGGGAACATCTGTATTGAAGAGATAGATGTTGACGGGAAATTTATCCGCTTGAAGAACACTTCCGAGCAGGTAACAAACAACGCCCCCTTCCCTTCCCCCAGCAACACTTTGCTGGCTGGTGGGCTATCTTAACAATTGTAATAGCTCCTCAGCCTTTACTTGGATTCAGTGGTCTTCACCTACATTCATGAAGAAAGTATAAATGAAACCAGGAGGGGGGAGAGGAGTTGTTGCACTAAGTGGTTTTGAAGATTTTCTTCATTAGCCCTTCCTTACAGAAGAGCCAGGGCTTTTGTTCAGTCTTTGTAATTTTGTCACAGTGGCCTTTCCAAGGATGGATTAGGATTATCGTTACTCCCTGACCTCGCCGAGATTTCTGCAAAACTTGGAGTGTGGGTGTAAATGGAGGGTATTCTTTCACAGCCCTTCATGAAAAGAAGGAAATATGAGCCAGACTTAGATATTTGCTCTCTGAATGAATGAGTGAACAAATGCTAATGCATCTGGACCACTTCTGCCCACATTTAATATACAGCGTTGTCGAAGTTGCTGTTCTGATGAATGACGAAGCCATCTTTATCTCTTTATTTTAGAGGGAGGGAGAGAGAAGTTGAGAGAGGGACACAGAGGGAGAAGGAGGGGGAGAGAGAGAGAAACGTCGACGTGAGAGTGAAACATCAATTGGTTGCCTCCTGATTGTGCCCCTACTGGGGAGAGAGCCCAAAACTTGGGTATGTGCCCTGACCAGGGATTGAACCTGAAACCTTTCGGTGTATGGGACGACGCTCCAACCAAGTGAGCCACACTGGTCAGGGCACCATATTTTCTTTTTATAATAGGAAACTATGAATCATGGGAGCCAACCATAAAGCTAGATTAACTTCCTATATAGACTCCTTGGTTTGATTATTCCGTAACTCTGTGTGCATTTGAAGTGACCTTGTTTTATTTTCTTCTCTGAATAGGATCAACCAATGGGAGGCTGGGAGATGATCAGAAAAATTGGAGACACATCAGTCAGTTACAAATATACCTCAAGATATGTGCTGAAGGCAGGGCAGACTGTTACAGTAAGTGGTTTTAGTCATCAGTTAACTTCATTGTCTTACCTAACAAAGTAATTCAGGAAAATGATTGGCTTAAAGAGAAGCATTTTAGAAATGGGCATTAAAACATCTTTGACCTTATTAGGAAATCACACATGCTGTTAAAGACTTTAAAAGTTCTGTGTTATTGAGAGCTGCAGTTGTCTATTAGAAGTGAAAGAATTGACCTATAGAGTCTTTCTATTTTGTCTACATGAGTAGATGTAAAACAGCTGTCTCCTGGCTGACACTTGTAGCCCAGGGCAATTGAGGAGATACTGCTTGGCATAGAGAACCGTTAGGAAGACCATCTATTTATTATGCTGGGACCTGCCTTACAGCGACAGCCTTTAGTCTCAGATGAGCATCAGAATCTGATCCAGGCAGTGTTTATGTCCAGGCCCCACTCACCTTAGCCACCATCTCTAGGGCTGGGATAGGGACTACTTACGTTCTCAATAGAAGTCATTAGGTGATAGGCTCTTCAAGAGCCACTCCTTTAAACATAGTATTTTACCAAAAGTTACACGTGGCTTTTACATAATATCAAAGGCTCTAGATTTAGAGAGATGGGCTATGTGCCATTCTGATTCTGTTTTGAATTCTAAATGGTTCTCTATTGCTGTGTTTGAAACACTGCATTTTCACTAGTTACTAAATATCATTTGCTAATTTTTAGAGAATTTTCATTGGTTAAGCACAAGGTTCCTTTGCTCTAGCTTAGTAAGTAGCTTTAGCAAACAATGTGTTAGCTTTTTAAAAATATATATACATAGATATATTTTATTGATTTTTTACAGAGAGGAAGTGAGAGAGATAGAGAGTTAGAAACATCGATGAGAGAAACATCGATCAGCTGCCTCCTGTACACCTCCTACTGGGGATGTGCCCACAACCAAGGTACATGCCCTTGACCGGAATCGAACCTGGGACCTTTCAGTCCGCAGGCCGACGCTCTATCCACTTGAGCCAAACCGGTTAGGGCCAGTGTGTTAGCTTTGATAGAGATCTTTAAGAAGTTACTGTTTTCATCCTAAAGAATGTAAAGATGGCTCTTTTTTATCAATTCTTTTAAAAAATATTAAGCATGTTTTAAATTTTGATGGATGTAAACTTTAGTGTCTAAGATCAAAGGCTCAAGAGGTTAGAACTTCTCTTTTAAAAGTGTATTCATAGAGCCTGATGCCACATTGTGAAAATATCAGGTGCTAATTTTATAATCATGAGTAAAAATGGGAACAAATACCCTAACTACAATATCCTTTCCTCTCCGTAGTAATTACTATAGTGAGAAAATTGCTTAGTTTTTATTATTTGTCTTATGGAAGCTGCATAATGTAGTGGAAAGCATCTAACATTTTAATTCAGAAGATTTAGATTTGAGTGTGCTATTTCTTTAAAGTAATGTGAAGCCATTATGCCAATCACTGCATTTTCCACTGCATGTAGTTCTGCAGGCCTAAACAGTTACATATTCTGTAGGACTAGGGGAGTAGCCAGTTGTCATATAAAATACTGCAATACATTTTTTTCTCTAGTCGGTAGCATGAAACGCGAGAAGAAGCTCTTTGGAACATGGTCATGATAAGTGATTAATCTATAAAATTGTACAAGGCGATAGCAAAGATGAATTTAAAACTCTAGAACAGAAATAAGAGAACTATACAGGTCATTGTAAATTTTCTTGTAGCCACATTAAAAAATGTAGAGAAAGATGTGAAATTAACTTTAGCACACTACATTCTATTTAACCCGATATATTCAAAATATTACCATTTCAACATGGGATCAATATAAAAAATTATGTCAGATATTTTACTTTTTTTCGAACCGAGTCTTCCAACTGATGTCCTTCCTGCATATTTCCTTTTGGACCAGCCACGCTTCTAGTGCTCACAGCCTCATGTGGCTACCATATTGCACAGCTCGGCTCGAGGACATATTTATTACTTTTAGGATAAATTACCCAGTAAGATTGCTGATATTTTATGATTATTATTATTAACACGCAACCAACCATACGATTCCATGTGGACCAGTGAAAACTATTGCTCGCGATTAGGAAAACACTATCATTCCACATAATCTAAAAGTCTGCCCAGATGCATTCCTTTTCCAGTTTTCTCCCAGGGCATGCCCCCTGGCCCTTTCCATGTGTAACACCCATGGAAGACCTGGGAGCTGCAAGTGGGATCTAAAGAGGAAGGGCTCCGCATCAGCAATTCATAGATTTTTTCCCACCTTTGAAAGTATACTGGCCTAGACCATCTCCAGTCTTCGTCTGCCATCAGATAGCCCTTTGTGTTGTAAAACAAGTTACTGGTAGAGAGCTTTCCTATTTTCATGTGTTTTTTAGGACGATCAGGACAGGGCATCATCGCCCTACAGGTGAGGACACTGAGGTGCAGAGGTGTAGTGACGTGTCCGGGATTCACGCCTACGTTTCCTACTCTAAAGTTTTCTCCACTTTACCCATATTCTTCTGCCAATTAGCACATTAAAAATATGGCAGAATTTTCATGCCGATGAAAGGGGAATGCGATTGTTTTCTTTGTGTTGCCTGTTTCAATAGCAGTCACATTCCTGTACCTGTTTGGAGTTTCATTTTACACGGTTCCTGGTTGGAGACATACCACTTTCCATGAGCATTCTCGATAGGCCGTCTCCCCCAGAAGGTCTGAGAGCAGTTAGTTCTCCTCTCCTTGACTCCTGCTGCAGGCAGCTGGAGGATAGATGCTGTGGGAGGGGTCAGAAGGCTCCCTTCACATGAGCTCATAGAACTAATAGAATGCTGACAGTGAGAGCTCGGATTCATTGAGCAAGCCAGCCACTCCATGTGGGTGGGTAATTGCTTGTTCCGGACAAAAAATTTTCAATCTCCTAGGTACCATTTCTGTCCCATTTTATGGATGACAAAAGTAAGGTCCCTTTCTCGAGGGTAGCTGACATGCAGAGGAGCTAGCATATGCATGTAGGCAACTTGACTTCCGAGTTTTCATTTATCATTTTCATTTATCAGATGAGGAAGCTGAAGCCCAGATAAGTTCTGCAGGTTCTCCTTGACACAGCTAGTTAATATAGCAGGTCTGGGGCCAGGGCACAGATCCGAGGCCTTTAGAATCAGCCCTACTGGGTGTTCAACTCTCCTCATAATGTTGCTGTCATTGGCATGCGGATATGGGTTCTGAGTAGACTGATGTCCTGGTTTTGTTTCCAGATCTGGGCTGCAAACGCGGGTGTCACAGCCAGTCCTCCCACCGACCTCATCTGGAAGAACCAGAACTCCTGGGGCACTGGCGAAGACGTGAAGGTCATCCTGAGAAATTCTCAGGGAGAGGTATGGCCATTCGTTTTATCAGCACCACTACCATGTCCGCTTTGAAGGTCATCACGCAAGTGTGATTTCTTTGCAGAAACCAAAAAGTGACTGTTGCTTAAATCAGACCAGGGCTGCCATGTAATTCAAGGAGACGCTGACTTCAGACATGGGGACGCAGTATGAGTGTCAGAGCCCTGACTGGTGACAGCAGAGGCTCAGTGGCCTGGCCAAGCCACTGTCTCCACGCACACGGCTGGAGAATGCAGCTTCCTTCACTCACTTAGTTTTCTTTAAAATGGAGAGAAGGCCATATAAGTGAGCTGACGTTAATATAATGAGAGCAACAGAAATGAGACAATTCTGGGAGGTGCTTGGAACAGCATCTGGCCTCTAGTGAACATTAAAGTTACCAACCTTGTCACTAGCTGTCAGTGTGTGTGGAGTTTGAAGATCTGCTTGATGTGTATGTTTTCAACATGTCAGTCCTAGAATTCTTGTCAAAGCACCTTACCCATCCCCAAATGTCAGGTAAAGTCACCCGGTGCCCCCACCACACACATACACACACACACACACACACACACACACCCATGAGTGCATGCGTGTGCACCAGGAGATACAAGTGTCTGTAGGAGGGAGTGGTCTCAGGCAAATCCCAGTGTCCCGGGGGCTGCTTCTCTCCTCAAGGGCCAGGTGCAGGCCTCGTGCCCTGGCCTGCGCTGGCCAAATGGGCCCTCACTAGAGTAGTAGGTACACTGAGGGCAAGGACCTATCCTCATTTTTTCCTGGCATTGTGCCTGGCACATAATAGGCACTCAGTAAGAATTTCCTGGATACATTTTTATAAAAATCCAACATGGACCTTCACTTAAGTTCAGAGAAATAAAGTGATTAACAGCGCTGTCACGGGGCTGAGGCGTTTACATAGGAAGGCCTGTGCCGGCCCTCTTCCCATCCTCCCTCACTGTCAGCGGGAGTGCTGATGACTAGACTGCTCCATGCAAGGAACCCGCTACAGGATGGGGAGTGCCCCTTGCCTCAGGCCGAGGCTGGGAATGGAACGGCATCTGTCTTGTCTGTAGACCTCAGTCTAGTTGTGTTAATTTTGGGGGTGCATCTGGGAAACTCACCTCCAAATGCCTGCTGTGTTCTCCGGGTAGGGGAGTGCCCTCAGTAATTCACAGGCTTCCAGGTGCGGGGTCCCCCTCCTGTTCTCCGCGCGGCAGCCCTGGCTTGCTGCCTGCAGCACTTTGGAGTCCTTCCCAGCGGTCGCCGGCGCTGCCGCCTCAGTGCTCGGATTTCTGTAGCTCCTGTGCTGGTGGTTTCTTTGTCACTGAAATGGGCAGAGTACATGTCTCTTTCAAAACATGTAGGAGTGGTGGTTCGCTCAGACTGAAGAGCACTATTATAAGGCAGATGAAATCGGCTTGTATGAGCCGTGGAATCTAGTTGCCACCCTTAGCATTCTTTTCTGTGTGAAAATGTGTTCCAAGTTAGAAGTAATGTTAACAGGAGGATATTTGGAGTGCAGAACCTGCACCAGAGATCGGATGACGTGCATAAAGCAGGTGCCTTAGCCTGGGAGCCGTCTTGGGGTGGAATCCTCAATGACGTTTCCATGAAGCGAACGGAAGCTTGGGTTTCCCTTCATAATTAGACCACTGACTGTCAGATCCATTGGTTGGTTTGTCTATTTTTTTTTTTTAACAAACGATTGCTTCCTGCTTGCTAGGCCCTGTTAGTGACTTCTGTCAGCAGCAAGGAAGGTATCACAATGTAGTTACTGATTTCTGTGACTGCCACGAGGACTTTGTCAGCTATTTAATTCTGCACAAGACTATGTTTAGTAGCAGGTCCCAGGTCTGTTTGCAACGATCTGTATTCATCACCATAAAGACCACTTTTCTGTAACCTTGAAGGTAATTGGCTCAAGTCAGTTTCATTTTCTGTGTCTGTTTTCTTCTTGCTGAGTCACTGAGAATGTCAGAAAACCCAGTTAGACTGGCTTTCAAAGAATGGGGATACGTGGGCTCACAAAACCCAAACTCCAGAGATAGTAGGTCCCCCTGTTGTCTCTGCTTCCCGTGTTGTCTCCCTCGTGGATTCCGGGTGTCTGCCGGCCGCCCCTGGAGCTGGCTTGGTATAGGAAAGAGCAGCTTCCCGTGTCTTACTGTGCCAGCTTGGCTCACATGCCCGCCTCTAACCTAGCTCTGGGGCCAGGGGGACAGGGCTGGAGCTTGAACCTCCTTACCCCTCCACGACGGGGGTCACACTCCGTGGGAGAGATGGGTGTCCAGTGAGACTGGGGCTCTGACTGAGAACTGCGGGAGGGAGTGTTGGATGAATAGAAACATAGAAAATAAAATGTCTTTGTATGAGGGAAATAAAAAATAAAGCAGTTTCTCTGTACCTAGCAGAATATAGGCACAACTGAAATTTATCTATGCAAATGATTACTTCCGTATACAGAGATATAACTTAACCATCGGCTCCTCGAATAATGAATGAGTAGTTATATCCCAGAAAGCAGTAAATGCTTTATAGCTCAGCCGCCAGAAGCTAGAATGTGAAGAAGCTGCAACAGATTTTGAAAAAGTCCTTCCTTATTTTAACATGAGTTGAGGAAAGCTGGGTACTTCAAAAGCTTTTTGAGAATCTTGTCTGTTTCGTGTGTATGCCACAGCCTCCCAAATGATAGCTCAGCTCCAGGAAATGTAATTGATCTAAATTACACTTTGGTTAAAGCAGGCAGATACTTGTGAAACGGCCCCTTGTCTGTGTAGACATAGACCAATCTCACAGAATCGAAATTTCCGGCTAATTGAGAGACTCAAAACGGCCCATCTTTCCTGGCCCTGCCACAGTTATCAAATTCCCACAAAACGCTACCATCTCCCTCTCTTCACTCACACACGGTACCCTTGGACGTATTTAACATGGGAGCTCATTGCTATGACACTGGCTTTCTTCCGCTGCCATTTTAAACTAGCTGGTCTGGGTTAAATTTCAGATAAGCTTTCGCTGACATCATGTTGGCGCCTTCCTCTTCCTGTAAAGGCGTTATCGTGTTGAGTGACGCTAGGACACAGGGCAGCGTAAATTAGGCGCTCCCAGCCTCCCGGGCACTCGCTCCCCCTGCCAGCCTGGAGCTTAAATGGAATCACTGCTGCGTCTGTGCGCGTCAGCAGTCCCCACAGGAAAGGCAGTAGGAAATGGGACGGCTACTTCCTGTCCCACGGACGGTGAATGATGGGCAGTCCATTTTACGTGTGGAACACACCGGCACTTCACTAGTGTTATTATTAGTAAACAGTGCTCATTGGTCTTGATTCCATGTCATTCAAGAGGATCCAGTTGCTGAAGGAATGAAAGGAGCTCGTCCTTTTCTCATCAGGGAGTCCTGTTGCTGCCATGGCCCCTGAGGTCACAGCGGATGGTCTCCAACTTAATTAAAAAAAATATCTATTTTTTTTAAATTGATGTTTAGAGTGAGAGGAAGGGGCGGGGGAGAGAAACATTGATGTGAGAGTGAAACATCCATTGGCTGCCTCCTACACACCCTGCTACTGGGGATGGAGCCTACAACCTTTAGGTGCACAGAACAATGCCCAACCAACTGAGCCACACCAGCCAGGGCTCCAACTTCATTTGATTCAGCATTTATTTAGCACCTTCTTTTTGCTGGAGCAAGTGAGGGCCTTACTCTGCATTCACGTGGAGTGCTATAAGAATCTAATCTGCCAAATCATTTACAGGATTTGGAGTAACAGAATGGGATACGAAGCAGTGGGACCTTCTCAGCAAGCATTTCAAATTGGATACCAGAAGCTTCTCTGCAGGGAATATTGAAGATCTAAGAACTGCTTCTAATTATGCAAAAATTCCTGTTCAGTAGCTAAAGCTACTGATGAGCCACTTTAAACAAAGTCCCTGATGTAGGAATGCTATTTCTTACACTTACGTATGGTTTCAACTTAAAACCAAACTACTCTTGCTTTTAGGAGGTTGCTCAAAGAAGTACAGTCTTTAAAACAACCCTACCTGAAGAGGAGGAGGAGGAGGAGGAAGGAGCTGAAGTGGCGATTGAGGAAGAACTTTTCCACCAGCAGGTATTATTTCAATATATTTGCTTTAAATTTTATCAATGGAATCACATGCAAACCCAAACCAGTAGTGGAGTTTGGGTTTTCCCTTGTGCCTGATGAGCCAGAGCAGTGGTCTACGATGGGGGCTGCTTTTCCTAAGGAGATCCTCAGGAGAGTACACCAGGTTACTGCAAGGAAATGTTGGCATGCCTTTGCAAAACGTTGTTTTCTCATTATATCCAATTTCGGTTTTGTCCTTTTTTATTTTTATTGTATTTTATTATTAGTTAAGGTATTACAAATGTGTCCTCATCCGCCCCATTAACCCCCAACCCCACCCCCTATAATCCACAAATGAGTGAGATCATGTGGTATTTATCTTTCTCTCACTGGCTTATTTCACTTAGCATAATGCTCTCTAGTTCCATCCATGCTGTTGCAAAAGGCAAGAGTTCCTTTTTTTTTTTTTTGACCGCAGCATAGTATTCCATTGTGTATATGTACCACAGTTTTTTTTTTTAATGTACATAATACGGTAGGACATGTGTGACACTTATAAATAAGCATATGTCATTAGAATGCATGCTCAAAATTATTTACCTAAGGGTTCTGTGATTGAGAAGTCTACACCACTAAATTAATTAGAGTAAGCATCTGCACGTAAACTTAAAAAAATAACAAAGAGCAATATTCAGCTTCAGAATGAAACAAACTCGTTGCTATATTAAGTTCCTAATCATCTAATTGCAAGATAGGTTTTAGCTGGTGCTTGGGCTTTTGAGAGCCCTTAAAGAAGCTCCAAATTTGATTTTAATTAAATTGAATTACTAATAACTAACAAGCCTTCAGTTTATATTCTCAAGCTGTTTGAGTCTGGTCATTCATCAAAACTGCTCTTTTCATAAGACTGTCTCCAGATTTATAAATCTGTTCGTTTTGCTTTATGAGTCCCAAGCCTACTCCAAACGAACATTACCTTACGCGTGTAGTCCCCATGGTGGAGAATGACTGCAGGTGGGTTATATGAGGTAGCATGAACTTTTGGCCTGGATCCTTCATACATTTCAGGGACTCTTTAAGAAGAGATACTTTAGACTTGGCTTCACTAAGAAACAAGCTCGGGATCCATTTCCCACCCTTAATAAACCGTTGCAATGACTGGGAGTAAAACAACGATGTCAGGTATCTGAAGGGGCGAGCCCGGTGGCTCAGCGGGAGTGGTAGTCGGCCAGCCGCTGGAGAGAGTTCTCTGGGCCCTGGAGTAGCTGAGATCTCGGGGAAACCTGCTCGCCCAGTGTTTTGAGGGACGGGCAGTTGTTGGGGCATGAGAGGCAGACGATGGTGTTCTGAGGGTGTTTGAATATTGGTTGTTACATTGACAAACCACCCCAAAACTTAGTGCCTTAAAACAATGGTTTTTTCCTTCCCATGATTCTGTGGTTTGACTGGGCTCAGGAGGGAGGTTATCTTGCTCCCCGTGATGGAGACTGAGTTAATCAAGCAGTGGCTGGGAGCTTGGCTGGGGCCGGAATGTCCCTCTCATCTCTTTCCATGTGGCTGCTCATCGTTCAGTAGTTCAGCCCCAGCTCACAACCTGGCAGCCCGCTTCCAAGAGGGTAAAAACAGAGCGCTGGATCCCTTACAGGCTGGGCCCAGCTATTCTCCCCGCCAAAGCAGGTGTAAGGCCGGCTCCAGGTGA